GGCTGGCAAACCAGTTCAGGGTGTCCCCCGCCTACTCCCCAAAGACAGTTGGGATGACACGCCTGCGACCCTTGTGAGGATAAATGGATTCGAAGATGGATGGATGGATGGAAGATTTGAAGACATGTACGACAAACCTTACTTTTTTGCCATTAAAAAAAAAAACAACTTTTTTTTGTACGGTGGTATCTCTTTTTATATAAAAAGAAAATATGATTTACGTGAGGATAAATGGATTCGAAGATGGATGGATGGATAAGATTTGAAGACATGTACTACAAACCTTACTTTTTTGCCATTTAAAAAAAACTTTTTTGGTACTGTGGTATCTCTTTTTATACAAAAGAAAATATGATTTAGTTGTTAAAATTGGAATAAAATAATTATTTCCACTGGGAAGTCACAACTTCCTATTTTGCATCATTATTTTTGCTTTCCAAATAAAAGATGGGAAATGCATGCTTTTCATTGGCCAATAACAACGCGTCCCGGTTGCCATAAAGCCACATATTAGCCAGGGAAGAACTCAAACAAACTTTCTTCAACTTAAAAGAAAAAAAAACAATGCGGCTGTGGGCTAATTTGGAAACGTTTGCACGTATAAAAGTGAGTACGGCTCCTCCTGCTCTCTTACCTCCGTATCCCATGACTGGAGTGTCATTCCGGCATGAAATGAAGTGACAAATCTTCCTGGGTGGCTCGTTGAGATTATTGGAGCGCACCACGCCCGCTCAGTACCCGCTCCCCCGCACACACGTACGCGCACACAGACGCAGGCAAGGCTAATCACTGGCGGAGAGAGCTCTTTAAGCCACTCGGCTGTGGTCTTGCGGGGATGGAAATAATACAGCTAATCAAGGGGGATGATCCTCAGTATCAACACTTCGTTTTCAGTACAGTGTGATTTGCAGGTGGTAAAGAGTCTTGCATAAGCGCTCCTTTGTGTGTTTTCTCATTTTATCTCCACAATGCCACATTTTAGCATCTGTTATAATCTGCTTTTTTTTTTTTTTTTTTACTCTGCCATTTGTTTTGCCTTTGAAAGATTCACATGATGTTCCTCTTTTGCGACAGACTGTGATGTTCCCGCACGCAAAGCTTTTCGCCTTGCGGAACTTTTTTTTTTTTTTTCTTTTGGTGGCGCTCCCCAGTGCAACAAACTATCTCTATATTGTGGCCTACTTTTATCCACGCCAAGCCTTTGTTCCGCCACCGCCGCTAAAAATGCAGGCAGATAGAAAGCGTCGTGCATTAAGTCTTTCCCTTTTGGCTCTGCCTTGATCTTACACAGCTGGAGATGGGACGTTTGTCCTTAGAGCAACAGAACACCAGCGAGCGTTTGAATGAATTGCACCAGTTTTCACGCAAAATGCAGTACAATTGTGAAAAATACATACATAGAGTTATGCTATTAATTCCGCCGCACACCGGGTGACGCAGCCAATACCCAACGGTTCCGCAATGGTTTTACATGACTCGCCGGTCTACAAGCGAGCTTCAGATACACCGCTGCTCAAGAGAACTCTTTACATTCTTTCACTTGCACATTTCTCCCAAAAAGAAGCGTTTGCAAGAAGCTGTTTATTTGGCGCTCCCAGTTGCAATTAACTGTAAAAACAAACCGCACAATTTCATCGAATGAAAGTCTGAGCTTAATACGACACAGACAGGCTAATGGAAATTAGCATAGTATTGAGCTAATTATAAACTTGAGCACAACCTATTTTCTCTTACAGGAACTGGAGCTTTGAGGACCTTCTCCGCCTCTCCTCTTTGCTCTTATGCTAGTATGTCGACGTCAGTGTGACGTCGTACTCCACTGAAGGCGCGTTAGCCAAAGTTCGGACGTGCCTCCATACTTCAAAATCTCCAATTTCGCCGGGTGCTAACGATGAACCCTGATGTATCAGCGGAATGCTTTATACACAGGCTTGATTCAAGTTGATTACCGCGTTCCCTTTGAAAAGAATGTCGCGTGATTCCTTTTGTTTCAAAGAAAAGAAGACTAGACTCTTGTTGAACCATCAGCAAATCCCACATCAGTTGAAACCAAGGCCAAAGCTACATCTGGTGTGTGTGCGCGGGCAAGAGCATGTGTGCGTGTGTCGATCCTTGTATCAAAGGCTGCGGGTTGTGTTTGTGTGTCTCGTGTCTGGAGCTGTGCGCCCAAAGCGGGGGAGACAGGTGATGTCGGGGCGAGAGTTAAAATAACAAACACGCCATCGCCCCCAAAGACTGACTTGATCCAATCAGCCCCTGTCTGTTGTCTGACACACACCACCACGCACAAACACATGCACACACACACACATTGGTTGACACCAGCTGGGGCTAATGATGTGATGGCTGCCGTGGTATTGCCACCACATGGGGTCTGGTTGTCTGAGCCCAGCCAAGCATCTATGGGTCCTGCATGCTAAAATGAAAAGCCGGCACTACAGCTGTGATAAAGCAGCAAAGATCTGCTTTTGTGTTGTTTTGCATCGCCGCGTGTCTGTTTCATTTTCGCCGCAGACTCAGAAAGTGCTACAGTAAGCAAGTGTGAGAGCGGAAGGTTGCCGGGGTTAATTGGCATTGAAGTTCAAATTACTTTTTAAGTGCAGGAGGCATGTTTGTCCTCATTGATTTTGCTGACTGGGAGTCATTTATAAACAGCGTTTGCAGGGAGGGAAAAGAAGTCGGTGGTAATGGAGTAGATAGAATAGCTCAGCCACGTGCGTGAAGCTACATGACAGAAGAATTGTGAGAGTGGGATGGATGGATGGATGGATGGATGGTGAACAGATGGACTGGATAATGGACTTGGTGGGTTCGTCTTCATTGGATGGTGGATGGATGACTTGGGACTAAAGATGGATGGTTGGATGGAGCGATGAAGGATGGTGGGTGAAGAGGGATCGGAATGAGGTCCAGTGTCTTTGGAAGATGGCTGGAATAGATTATAAATGGATGGATGGATGAAGTGTAAATAGGGCTGCACAAGATATCGAAAAAGTATCAATGTCGCGATATCGGCCCATGCAATATGCATATCGCAAAGGTATGCAACAAGTTTCTTCTGGAATAATGCTTTTCCAATATCATGCTGCACTAATTGTAAATGGTATATTTATGAAATGGATGCATGGATGGATGCACAGATGGATGGATAGTGAATGGATTCTTTAGGTTCCTTTCAAGGTTCACTAACTTCAACTAATGTGACAGCTCATTTAGGTTTGCTCAGGGGTCACCAACGTGGTGCCCTTAGGTAGCCCCCAAGGTGCAGTTCGCAGCCCCTTTCTCAAAATAGCTCAGCAGTGATGGGACGTTGTGATTTTCTCGGAGTGTTGTAGAAATTATCATTTGAAAATGCACCTGATGATTGTGCGAAACCATTAATATTGGCCAGTGTCTTAACATAAACGAAAATCAGTCATTTTTGATCACATACTTCTCACGGTATTGAAGGTAATTTGGGGATTTGTATTTTCGGAAGCGTGTATCGAATTGGTAGCCCTTCACATTAATCAGTCTCCAAGAGGAAGCTCTCAGTTTTAAAAAGGTTGGTGGCCCCTGGGTTAGCCGATGTTCATCGCACTCCCTTGATTCTTGAACACATCTTGATATTTTGGGTCCGTCCAAAGAAGCACTTTCCTTCCCATTTGTGCCGTACACAGCCTGCATGTTCCATTTTCTTGTTGTTGAGCATAACCTTTTGTTTTATATTAGAAAGCAAAAGGTCAAACAAGGAGCTTGCCGTCATCCAAAGAATCAAGCCGGCGGAGAGAGGAGCATCAAATTGCTCGAGAATAAGTACCGGCGCAATAACAGCGGCCTTGTTTTCCTCCCTTCGCCACATCTGAGATTTCCATTTCCTAACGTGACGCGAGAAGGAAATTAAACAATGGGAATGGAACAATGTTGCAGCGAACATTTATGCCTCCGCCATAAAGCTCGGACAGGCTGAATTTACGAGGGTTTGCCGCTGTAAATACTGCGCTCGGGAAATGTGATTAGGCTCATAAATACGATATTCCCTGCTGTCCTACCCTTCACCCGAGGAGCCTTGTAAAAGCATATGTTCAGGACACTTGCCTGCTTTTCGCTGTTGCCAGCCTTCTGTGTGGGATCTTTTCGATCTTTACATTTACAATCCGTAAAAGTCCAGAATCAATACACAAACGTTAAAAGTATAAATGAAAGACATCATACTCACCCGACATTATTTAATCTAATAATGTGTTCGGGTCGCTCGAGACATCATATTTTGCTCATTGAAGTTGACCGGAACAAATTTTGCCCTGAGCAACCAATCAAAGGATGGAAAAATTATGATGTCATCAAGGGCTAGAGCTGATTGGTTAAAAATGAGTCCAACTGCGTTCGTGCCATCAAACCGTACTACTGATTCTGAAGGCCAGATTAGATTGACAACAAGACTGAAATCGGATTGGACAAAAAAAAAAAGATACGTAAATAGAAGCAGTTCAGATCAAAGAATGATCACAAAATTACGAGAATTCTGGGAATAAATGGATACAGTTTCATGGAACAAATTACAGTGTTTGAGTTTTTGCCTTTTCGCCATTGCGTGTTGCACATAGCAACGTGAAATTGGGCAGGCATGTCTATCATGACGAGAACAACAACAAAAATCTCAAGAACCCGTGCCCACAAAAACGCAGGAAGTCTGCTATTTTGGTTTTAAGTATACAATTTAGGGTTACTTGAGACATTTCCAGGTGTCTTTCAAAAACGGATTTGTTCTATACACCAAAAAAGTCTCAAGACTCCATGGCTGAAAAGACAAAGGAAGGCTGCCATATTGGTTTGAAGCTGCCATTTTAGCGTCATTTTGGCCAGTCTTGCAAAAGTGAGCAAGATTTGACATATCTGGAGCTTTTCTCATATACAGGGGCAACGCAAAATTTGAAGAAATGCTATTTTTTTCATTCAGTTTGGACGTTCACTCGACCCATTATAAATATTCAACATTCCGCTGATCTTCTTTCTGGCAGGTGGAGTGGCTGAAGAACGAAGAGATCATCGACCCAGCGGAGGACAGAAACTTCTACATCACCATCGACCATAATCTGATCATCAAACAAGCGCGTCTTTCGGACACGGCTAACTACACGTGCGTGGCCAAGAACATCGTGGCCAAGAGACGCAGCACAACGGCCACCGTCATCGTTTACGGTAATCATCGGTATCATATGGTGCAATTGACCGCTTTTGAAATTCTTATCTTTCAGTAATGAATCACAGTAGGCCATAATCGAATCACAATATTTTGGGCTTCTTTTTTGGCGGCATGGCAGCCGTGCCTCGCAACAAATCAAGTCATAATATTGACTTGCCGAGCACCCGCGCCAGCTTTTGGCCAGTGTTAGAGGAGAGGAAACAATGCGCATGCGATGCACACAAAAAGAAAAACACACTCTGCGCGTTTCCCTCCAGTGTAACCGCTGTTGCATCTATCCACTGTGTGCTTCAATCCGAAGGAAAAAAAAAAAAAACTGCACGTGTGCGCTGCTACAGACAGACAGCCCGAGATGGAGTGGTTTGACACTGATGTATCCTTACAGAAATAGATTGTTCAATCTGCGGTTCAATCTCCTCGGCTCCCCCCCGCCCCCCGAGGGCCCGGCTGGCGCTGTTGACAAGGTGAAAAAGTTGCAAGGCTAGTGGAGGGATGTGGCGGATCACGAGGGGGATAAATAAAAGCATGGTGGAGAGGCAGCTCGGTGAAGAAGCTCGAATTGACCTATTTTTGTTGTACCCGATAGGAAGGTCCCACTTCAAACATTGATCGACACATCCTGTAAACGCCATTTGTGTCGGTTGCTTAAGTCGTGAGAGCAGTTTGCATAGAAACAGCAGAAAAAAAATATTTGATTTGGGCCCTCCCAGTTGAGGGTGACAACTGTAACTCCTCCAATGATTCAAGCCTCATATATGTCCAGTAAAAAGCTAGACATTTTGACAGCCATCATTCTCAGCACGGTAGAGCCACAAAAAGAAACATTTTTGGAAGGTGTGAAAGCACCAATGTCCCAAGTAATGGCTCCAACTTCTGTTTTTCTTTCACCATATATCCGCTGGGCAGAGCATCAAGCAGCAATTCATGCGCTGTCTTGACCGAAAAATGTTTTTTCTGTTATGATTGTGGGGATGATAAGCTGTCCATCCAATCACCGATCTCTTGAACTTCGCAGTTAATGGTGGCTGGTCGACGTGGACGGAATGGTCGATGTGTAACAGCCGCTGTGGGCGTGGCTTCCAGAAACGAAGTCGCAGCTGTACTAACCCCGCCCCTTTAAATGGCGGACTGCCTTGTGACGGACAGGCCATCCAGAAACTACCCTGCACCTCTTTGTGCACCGGTGAGTTTGAACCAGTTTGCTATTTTCTGCCGTAACTTGCAAAGCGACGTTACGGACACGTGGCAATGATGTCATAGAATTGCAATGTAACACGTGACATTGCATGACAGTATCTTAATTGCTTTTGCTTGCAATACAAAGCAACAAAAAAACTAAAAAAAGATTTGCTGTTGCATCTTCGGCAGCCATGTTTCGCTCAGGGTCAAGTCATATGTGTCGGTAAATCCCACCATTGATAGTGGATTAGGAAGTGTTTTCGTTTCCTTTCCTTTCCGTTCCCTTTAGTGGATGGCGAGTGGACGGACTGGAGTAAGTGGTCAGCCTGCGGGACGGAGTGCACCCAGTGGAGGAGGCGGGAGTGCAACAACCCGGCGCCCAAAAACGGCGGGAAGGACTGCGAGGGTCTAGTGCTTCACTCTCAGAACTGCACCGATGGACTTTGTATGCAGAGTAAGTTGATCCTCTGCTACCCGCTTAGAAACCTGCACGGAAAGTTCATTTTGGATGTGAACTTGTTCAAAGTCCCCCCGCCCCCCACAACAAAATGTTATGAGAGCCATTCCGCTCAAAATACTGGCATTTCCCCATTATTGGAAACCAGTCCACACTAGTGGACAACTGCAAGTTCCACCCTACAATCTTACAGTACAGTGGACCCCCATTATTCAGGGGGGCGAAAGCGGGGGATATAGAACGGGTTGGCCTGCAAATAACGAAAATCTGTGTACTATTGACACCAAGCGAAATGCATTGACAATGCATTTTTCAAGGGAAAAGTTGTTGGTGGGGGTGAACATGTAAAGGAAATATTGAGGAAAATTACACCCCCGCCCAAAAAAATGCAAATCTGCCGGTGCCAAAAAACATGCATGGTAGGTTGAATGGGCACTCTGTATTGTCCCGAGGTGTGTTTGTGACTGTGAATGATTGTTGGTCTGTGTGTGCCCTGCGATTGGCTGGCGACCAATTGAGGTTGGACCCTCCCTGCCGCCCAAAGGCAGCTGGGATGGGCTCCAGAGACACCTGCGACCCTCGCGAGGATAAGTGGTTTGGAAAATGGATGAATAAATGTTACATTCAGTGTTTTCGTACCACTTTAAATCAAACTGGTGAGAAATGAATCGTTCCTTTCTAAATTGCCATGTTTTTATCATCCCCCCATTCAAATGTTTCGCTTTTGTATCACGCTCTTCTGAATTGTTATGTTTTAGTCACTTTCCTACTATTTTTATGTAAGCGTACCTAGAAAATTCTATGCCTGTTTTTGTGCCCTTTCTGACTAAATACAGACTTTTTTTCCATCATTACCTACTAAAAATTCATGTTTTTGTATCATCTCACACTGAATTATGGTTTTCTGTCATTTCTTACTTCGTTCTTTTATTTATTATTTTTTTGGTAGCATTTTGCAGTGAATGTTTGTGTTTCATCCTCTTCCTCCATTTTTCCTGACAAATCTTTCTGCATCATTTCCCACTAACGGCTAAATACATTTAGGCAGAGTTGCTTTTTTGTTTATTGCCACCTCCCTATCTTCCTCCTCCGACTCTTCCTCAGGCGGCACTATCATCTCTCCCTTCGCCTGCCTTGTGTCGCTCTTCCTCTCAGGAGGCTGACTGCTTTCATGGTGTCGATTCATCCTCATTTACTTTCCGAACGTCACCCACCGGTGGCCTCGCTCGGTCAAGTCAAAGCCTCCTTTCTTACAAAAACCTAACATCACATAACGAACCATCATAAAGTGCATCAGCCACCAATTGAACTGCCGTTTGGCTCATTCCCACCATGTTTTTTTTTTTTTTTGTGGTGAGTTTCTAAAACGCTTTGAAAGGGTGAAGCGAATATAGCAGCGGTTCTCCAAGGCGCAGGCAATTATATTTGTTGACTTGCAGCATGAGGAGGAGTACCTTGCTTACTCATTGCGCCGAGAGTAATTGGCAGACGTTTGACGAGAGGAGAAGAGAAAAAAAAAAAAAACAGCGCAACATATTTTTAGAACACGCACACACGCTCACACATTCTCTCGCTTGTGCATGCAACGATGCCACAGGTTCTCGGTGTGCTGAGCGACAACAACCCTTCATTAGCCAGGAATGATCAGCCAGCGCCTTGACATAATCAGTATTTTTCCACATTTTTCCAAGTCATATCGGCTTCTCTGGATGACACAAATTGTTGGAAGACAACTCACAAGTACAAGTCAAGAATGCACTGTTACATCGTTCCACATATAGCACAGTCCAACGCTTAAGGACCGAAAAATAGAAGCAATAAGTAAGTGTTGTCAGCAGCTTGAAAGGGCCACACAGGACTGGCTGGTATCGAAATATAGTGGAACAGGGCACAAAAGCAAAAAGAACACCTACAGTGCCGCAAAATGATGCCAGACGCACCACTTTTATATTAGCCAGTGCTAAGCGTTGAACTGAATAGCGGAGGATGTGTTCAAAAACAAAATCCATGCAGAGATGACCATTCAATCAGCCTCCGATTGAATATATAACGGTTACACCTCAAACAGAAGTTTGGGGTATTTCCTCTTATAGACTCAATTAATCGTGACGTGCATCCTCTACTTGAATAAATAAGCGCTTTTGAAAACAAACCGCTTGTCCATCAGGGGTCTTGGTGGTAACAAGGAAGATGCGCTGTGGCTCATTAAAAGACAGCATGCCATCCAAATGATTTCGGCAGTGATAATTTTACAGTTTGAGCCCTGCGAGTCCCAGGGACTCGCTGATCAGAAAAGTATGAGTCCCATTATGCATTTAGAGAGTCCCAAATTTCGAATTCTGAAATGGTCTACTTATTCAATCGCATATGATAATAACAAACAACAACAATATACATTGATAATAGGTTTATTTCTTATAAACAAATGCTGCAAAAATTTAAATAATTCAGGCCTACAAGATTTGCTGAGACATAGGTTCTTATTTCATCCCATGGTTCAGTCTTTGAGTTCATAAATTCTCCTCTCGACTCTGCTTCCAATGATGCAAGGCTTTCTCAAAGTCAATTTATTATCGCAAAACACGATCCAACTTTAGCTGCTTCTCTATGATATCTCCGCAATAAACTTTCGCAACACTCGTTGGCAACACTTGTTTTAACGTTACACAACTTGGCAATCGTCTGCCGATCTCGCCAATCTCGTATCGCGAGAACGGAAATCTAGTCACGCGAGATTACTTATCGCGAGATCAAAACAACAATGGCGGCGATTATCAAACTGCGATCATTGCTGAAAAAAAAGGTGCACCGTAATTTTTTTTTTTTTTTTTTTTGACTGAGAAATTTCCTTGCGTCCCAAAAACGCACATTTTTTGGAACTGTGCGTCCCGCGGGAAAATTATGCGTCTAGGACAGAGGTAACGAGATGGCTATTTCGGCGCTGTTTCATTCAGATGCAATTTTTCCCTATCGTTGCTCTAATGTTGTACTCAAGTGATGTTTTCCGGGATGAAACCTGCAGGGTTATACATTCAGGCTCATTTCCCCCGATTGACTTTCTGTCCTTGTAACGACTCAACACACTGGGCTTATGTTTCAACTACTTCCTGTAGCGCTAACAGGAAGACATAAAATGTGCGTGAGCATGTGTGTGTGTCACGTCGCAGCACGTAGTGCGTCTCCAGCAAATAAATTCTGATGTCGTCTTTTAGAGCCGCGGTAATCTCCGGAGATAGCAGAGCTGCCGTGTAACACGTTTTACCGTGTTAGCATTTGCATGACACAAAGCGCAGGTAGAACGGCAAACCAACTCTTTGTGTGTGTGTGTGTCCATTTATTATTCTTGCTTTCTATTTAAAAATGAGCACAAACTTGAATACATACGTACTTCAAATGTGTCAAAATAATCACGTCTTATTTCATAGAATTTTCCCAATGTCGTTGTCTGTTATCCTCTCATTTGGCTTCCCACTTAATCAAATGCCTTTTTCCCTCCATGCCGTCGTCTTTTGTAATCGGGTGTGCCATGCGTTCCTGCCACACCGCATTCAAAATTTTTGCGTCATCTCGACCGCTAATCGCTTTGGCATTTGGCAGATGCGCTCACGATTAATAACAAACGAGGTTCAAAAAAGAAGGGTCACGCTGTTTGCTGTTGGAGATCAACAACGCTGATAGTGGTGAGTCAGTGTGTTGTGTTTCTGTCCCATGTGAGTCCTTTTTTTTTTTTTTTTTTGCTGTTTTGTTGATCCATCCATCCATCCTTCATCCCTACCTTTTCCCTGTCCCCAAGGTTCATTGTTTGAGACATCCAAAGAAACGAGTGATGTGGGATTCACATGTGAGTTTTATCTTTAATTTCTTGCCTTTTTTTGTGTGCGTGCGTGCATGCGTGCGTGCGTGTGTGTCCGCACCGCGCGTGAGCGTGTCTTTGTGTCCGTATCTATTTATGTTCTTCTCTTATCACAAAATCCGTGTATTTGTTTGCTTCAGGAAGTCAACTGTGCTCAAATGCTGGCATCAAAGGCACATCAATTATTTTTTTCACCGTTGCCTGCATGATGGGAATGTGAATCAAAAGCGTGTCGTTGATTCAATTTGGACAAGAAGGGATTTTGGTGTGGGGGGGGGGTAAATAAATGATTCAAAGGAGGAAAAAGCAAGTGTGAAAGGAAACACGTTATGCATTTTTTTTCCTTTCATATTTCAAAACAGTTTCCTAGGGTCTAAAATAAAAGCAATCCGACACTTATCAAAATATACAAAATAAGTCGCACTTTACACCCACATTGTATATGATCTGGTTATACCTACCAACTTTTGTACCTAGCTAGTTACCTATGCACTGACCAGCTAAGCTACCTAGCTACCTGACTACCTATTTAGAGATCCAACTACCCACCCAGCCCGACGATAATACAAAATTTCGCAAATACGAAGCTACCAACCCACCCTTCCAAACACTGAGCTACCTAACTACTGTCTTACTTACTTTAGTGCGTGTGTGTGTGTGTGTGTGTGTGTGTGCGTGTGTGCGCGCGCGCAAGCAATGGGTCAAAAGCCAAAGTGTGTGTGTTCGCGCAAGCAATTTGGGATTTGAGAGTAAAACATCCACCTCCTCGCATCGAGCGCTGTCAGATTAGACTGAGCAGAGCATCAAAGATGTACGAATACGACTCTCGCTTCAGGTGTTTCATGGGCTCCTTTTATAGTGCGTCCACTCAGATGTAGAAATGTGGGACCAGCTTTTCACATTTTATTCAGTGACAAACACACACAGGTGACAATAGGACTTGCGGTTGAAAGCTGATGCCTGTGTTTCCATGCGGGGGGTCAACTCAAGTCGCAGAGCTTTGAATTTAAAAGTTGGGTCTATTCTTAGTCACTGATGTGACTAAATTCTGGATTATTGATTAAAAAAAAAAGTAGGCTGGAAAACAGCAAAAAGACAAAAATCCAAACTTTGACTTTTTCACCACCTCTTTAAAATAATGTTTTTTCTATAAGATTAGACTTCTTCTAATGCTATTGACGTTATTGTTATACATTATAGGATTTTGTACTTTTTGCGGGGAAAAAAATTGTAAACTGATTTGCAAGGCCCACAGATTATTGTCTTCTATTGCGATATAAATATGCAGCCTACCAAAAAAAAAAAAAGATGACTCTTCATTCAGCTGAAAAAATGCTTCTCTCTCTTTTTCGGTGAAAAAGACCTGTTTTGTAAAAGCATGCATTCCAAACATAATTTCAAGTATGGCACGACTATTTGTTGCTTTGTGACATTTCAAACATCTCAATAAGACTTTCCTTTGACAAACCAACATCAACAACACCACAAAAGGGCTTTTTTGATGCTTTGTTGCATTTGCATGAGGCAGCCACTTGCTGCTTCTTACTTTTGCACAGACAAAAACGTCCTGTTGCTTTCAGAAACTCCTCTCCCTGGTCACGGTGGAAGCTTTTCTTCCCCAAAAGCAATCCTCTCCGGCCGACTATTTGTTTAGATTTCTCCATCGCTACTGGTTCGAATGCCCTCTCTACTAACGACACACTACTCCACCTGACTCTACGCTATTCCCCAACTTGGCCCATCCATCCCTCCCTCTACTTCTATTTGTCCTGCGGCATATTCCTTGCTGATCCCATACACCCGTTGCCACCTGCTGGACAGATTTTAAATGATTTACAATTTACAATGCAACCAAGTCTGATCTTTAGTCAGAGGCTGCATCAGACAATTGTGCACATTATGGCGCAAAAACGTCATTGGTAGGCGGCAGGAGCATGTTTTTCGAGACGTATTCATATGTCATGGGGTTTGAATAAGTCAAGAAGTTTTTTCATTGCATTGTTGTCTGACTTGATTCTCAAGCGACGCTAACTTTTACCTCGTCACAATGCAACTTTTTCCCTTTAATGTTACTCCATTCTCTCACACTACTTTCCATCCTGATACTGAGTGGAATTTCAAAAATTTCTTTTGGAGTAGTCCAATTACTTCACATAGATTGAGGAATTTCAAAATAAATGTGATTGGACAACATTTTTTTTTTCCTGGTAGTCAGGAGGATACCATGACTTTTTCTGTTGTTTTGACTTTTTCTTGAAATACGAATCGCTGATAAATTACTCTTTTACCTTATTTCTCGAAAGTTTACTTTTCCCCCCCCTGTTGGGCATGAGCATTATAGATCTCAGTACATGAGTGAGTGTAGCTTTGTGTTTTCTTCCTCCGTTTCTTCCTGATTCTTTCTCAGCCTATTCATTCTGTCATGCTGCCTTCAAATCACACGCACACGCACGCACACACGTCCAAACCTATTATTCATCCAAGCGGGTCGAAAGTGTTCACCCACGTCCAGTTGCTTTTTTCCCCCCTCTCCTGTGTCTCGTTGTCAGGAGGCAGCCTATTATGCCAGGCTGTCAAGCTGTAAAAGGGCATTAAATAAACAATGTGTAAACTTTCAAGTGACAGCTCTCGTGTTGTGGAACTTAAAATAGAAGGTCAATCAGATCAAGATTTATTAATCTAATAGATCCATCATGATTACTATGTTGGAGTTGCAATTTAAGAGGATTATAGTGACCCCGCCCAGTCATCGTGATGTTTTTAAAAACATATATATTCGAGAGGTAATTTTAAAGGGTCCTTGGCCCACCCAGGCTTAAGAGTGGCAAGCATGTGCCGTCATCCACTGCCCGATTCAGCCTCCTCGAGGACGCTTTGAAATGGTTGACAGCGCCCTCACGTGGTCACTCTCGAAACTTTCTTATGAATGCGTGCACGGGATCAAAATGGATTGACCATAATCAAAACCGTCCATCAATCATTGATAGCGTTTATCTTCACGAGGGTTGCAGGGTAAATAATAATATGGATTGTAATCAATAATATTAGTAAAATATTATTAATATGTTCAATGTCATGCCATTTTAAATTTACTTTTCAAAAACAGAAATTTACCACCCAAATTAAAATTTGAAAAAAAGAATGCAACTTTTGGTATGTTGCAGTGCCGGTGTACACCACTGCAAACTACAAGTGCAGCAATAAGTTGTTAAAGTTGTTAAAGTGAAATGTTTGATTGAGCTAATTTGATGAGGTGCACATAATAAATTGAATATACAAGTCACATACAGCAAGTGCATCCACCCGCAAGCCATTAAGTTTGACTGCTTGTCACAATAAATGTATTTGGTACATTTAAAGTTCTTAAACCAGTGATTTTTCTTTTTTAATCTCCTTCCTCATATCAACTTGTTGGTTTCCTTTCATCTGAACTCCTCATGCTCATCTTGCGTCCAAGCCAATGCTTAGAACTTTTAAAAGACATTCTTCTTTTGTGGAAGGCTGCATGAATGTATAGATGAGTAGCCTATCTTTAAAACATCTCATGTCATATTGAAGGGGGATCCTTGTAAAATAATTAACAAGCTTATTAAGATGGAACAGATTTATGAAAAATGTCTCTTGCCCCGGTGTCTAGGCAAATGCTCTTATTACGCATGCCCGAGGCCTGTTTAAAAGTTTCACAGGTCTTCCTTTCAGTCTGAAAGGAAGGGAAATGAGATGATGTCATTGTTCTGGGAGTGTTTTTAGGATTCTCTAGTTGGATTGTTTTCAAGAAAAACCTAAAAAATATGCTTTATTTATTTCAAATGGACTAAAAATGCAAAGAATTAGGAAACTAGAATGAATATATTCATTTATATGTCATAAAATAATTGTTTTCTTTCCAGCGGCTCCGAGCACGGATGATGTGGCTCTCTACGTGGGCGTGGTCATCGCCGTCATCATGTGCCTGGTCATCTCGGTCATCGTGGCGCTCTTCGTGTATCGCAAAACCCACCGCGACTTCGACTCGGACATCATCGACACGTCGGCGCTCAACGGAGGGTTCCAGTCGGTCAACATCAAGACGGCCAGATCAGGTACTTGCAGCCTTTGGAGTGGGATCAATTGATCGACTGTGTCAACAGAGTTATGCTTGGTATTTGTCAATCATGAACCTTTGATACCTTCTTCCGTCAACATTTGGCAACAAATTCCGAAATAGTAGAAGCCAAGGTTTTCGTGAAAAGTCAGCTTGACTGACAAAATGGCTGCCTCGCGCCAAAATGAGCATTTCAGCCATTTTGATACACTCTCTTATAACATGACCAGTGACGATGACACTGATCGACGAAACCCACTTCCGTCAGTGCTGAGTCAGTCTTTTTTAACGTTTCCCATCAGTCATCATTTGTCAGAAAATCGGGCGTCAATCAATGACCGACTGAAGGACTTCTGTGTGTGTTCAGTGTGACACAACGGCCAACTCTGCAAGTCAATCCCTTGTCCCATTCATCCGCATACTGCTTACTTTATCCGAGCTTGTTCCGCTGGCGCCACATCGAGTCCCACCCGCAGCATCCGTCATTCCCGTGGTTAAATTGCACTCGTCTTTTCCTGCCTGCGTTGCGTTTCTTTCCGTCCGGCTAATGGCGAGGACCCTGAGAAGCTCACTTCTTCATACATTAATTGCTCGACAAGAAATGTCAGGGAATTTGAAATCGATCAGGCGGTCACTGGAAAACTTTGCCTACTGCTGCTTCGCTAGTCACAAATTCACTGATCATGCTCAGCAAATCAGTTTTTATTTAATGCGTATCCTTGGAGACACTCAAAGATGAGCGACGGAGCCGTGTACTGTATAAATAAGACATTCCGTAATGCTTGTAAACATGACCAGTAAAATGCTAGCACAGAAAATGTTCCTACGCATATTGAACTGATGTCTTCCTGTGTATGTCTGTTTTTCTTTTTTTTTCCGTGTCATATCTGTGTTTTACATTGGAGATGTGGATTTATTTATGAGTGCTAGTGGGAGGCCAGGAAGTTAGCTGGAGGTACACTGCTTGAGGTACATGGACAAGTGTCATGTTTACATGCGTCAGCCGGGACAACTCAGGAAGTTGCCGTGTAAAAACATGCACAGGGGAGTTTTAAATGTGGAATACTTAAAGCAGAACTAAGGGTTAATATGTTCTGGATTTCCTGTATCCATTTGTTTGGTCTTTTTTTTTTTCTGTAATGGCGAGGCATTTGACAAAATGGGTCCAGCTAATGCGCTAAATGCTAACAGACCAAACTTTGTCAGATTGATGCTAAAATGTAACACGACAGGCGTCCTGATTGGTCCAACAAGACCATGAAAAATAGTCAAGTCTGCTATCCAGCTGTGTTGGCAGTGCCTCTAGTATTAGCCCGGCGTTATATATGTCCTGGTTGGTCCAAAGATAATGCATGCTATGGGAAAGTAGATGATCTGCCATTGGCAACAACAAAGCACAAATAATATATTCCACTGCTGCTCTGCAGTAGCACTGGCACAACATGAAAGCTGGCCTGGCCCTGGTCCTCGCCATAGCAACAACAAACGTGCTTGTCTCTGAAGAGTAATGTTAGCACTCGAAAACATTGTCCTGGCGGGTTCAACAAGACCATGAAAAATAGGTGAGCCTGGGTTGCCAAGGCAACAGCAAAGATTCAAACCTCCGAACAAAAAGTTTAGTAGTACTGCCAGCACGAGTACAGCAGGATATGTGACCTGGCTAGTCCAACAAGACCACGAAAATCTGTGGCGATCTGCGGCAAACACAAAAAAATGATTTTATCCCCGCAAATAGTAAGAATTGTGCTGCTGGTGTGAAATTTGTCAAATGGTTTTTGCAACTTTGCTATTAGGCTAACAAATTTGTTTCTTTGATTGACTGGGAAACCCAAGCTTATGATTGTGCTCATGGTACCAAATGTTAATTATTTGACCTTTTTTAAATTTCCGTTGTCCTTATTTCCATTCCCCCGTGCCCCGCCCCTCCACTTTTCCTTGCTCCTAGCTGATTTTTTTTCAGCCCCTCCCGATTTGACAAATGCGTCCGCCATGTACGGCGGTCCCTCTTATGTCCTCCATGACCTGTCCGATAAAATCCCAATGACCGACTCTCCACTCTTAGAGCCCCTCCCCAACCTGAAGATTAAGGTGTACAACTCCTCCGGCCTCGTCACGCCGCAGGACGACCTCGGAGGAGACTTTACGTCCAAGCTCTCTCCCAAGGTAAGGCTATTGAGTTTCGCCACAAGTTATTATTTTTTTTTTGATATGTTGGCACAATAACCCCTAAAACACATTTTCCCGTGACTTACTAAAATTCACACGTTAAAATTCCATTCGCAACAAAGCCCATTGAGTCATACCTCATCATAAAGCACTAGAAAAGAGCTTATTAATTCTCCAAAACATGAATATGGAGTAACTGCTACGGAGTCATAGAGCATATTAAAGCACTTGAAGAAGGCTTTCCTGATATGTTTTCTTTCATTACAATTTGCATTCTTTCATTAAAAATTTGCATCGTTACTTGTCGCTTATGAAGACACACATCAGAAGTTTCTAATTTGCAACGAGCACCACTGAGTCACACATAACAGTGCCTCATCGTAAAGCACTTGTAGAGGCCGTTCTAGATCAGGAGACTTAAGAGACGACACATTGGCCTCAAAAAGATTGTTCGAAAATGGCAAAATGCTAAAAATGGCTCGTGACAAACGACCCTCAGTCATACCTCATATTAAAGCCCATAAAGTGATGCTTTGTGCATCAATAGTTATTTTCTCAATGTGCTCTCATAAAATAACACAATGACAAAAAAAATAAAATAAAAAAAAATAAATAAATAAAATAAACGTCGCGACTCAATCACAAGAATAATGTTGCTGATGAAAACTGACATGTCAAAAAAATCAATTTGGAACACAAACCCCAAAGCTCACAGTCACATCTCCGATTAAAGCATTTCCAAATCTGTGAATGTGTCATTGAACAGATGAGACCATGACCCCAAAACATCGAAAAACGGCATCAATATGCTTATTAACCCCCGCCCCCAAAAAAAATCTACTTACACCAAACCATATCGACTTATATGTCACATTAAACCACTAAAAGACGGCTTTCTCGATCCATAGCTATTTCGTCAGTGTGCCAAAAAAACATTGTCAACATTTTCGGCCTGATCAAAATTGACGTGAAAAAACGGAGTCATATCTCAAATTAAAGGACCACGATAGGTGTTCCAAATATGCGATACTATGAACATCACGTCCCACAGTGATGGCTAATAATGGAAAGAAAAAAAAAATGTTTTTTTTCTTGATTGAAAAGTCCCAAGTCATTCTTGTCGCACCAAATCTTAAACTGAACCTGAATCCTAATGACTTATTTTACAAGTCAGTGCTCACATTTAGACCATGAAATGCAAACCTGCTCCTTTTTTTTTTCCTACTACTTGAAACCCTACGGTGATTTGAGATCTTCCCTCTTCCAGCTGAGCCTCATGGCGGCGCTCCCGGGCACGAGGCTCAGCTTCCCAGTAGCAGTTCTCAAGGAAATGTGTCCAACAAAAAAGAGCAAAAAAAGAAAACACTGCCAAAACATTTTTTTTTTTTTTGCATGGAATACTTCAGGATGAACACGTCGTCTCTTCTCAGTGACCAACTTTTACTTGCTGCCACACTGATACTGTTACTTACAACACTCTCGCATTACAACAGCAAATTATATGAATATAGTATCATAAATGAAACAAAATGTCATCCCCGTACACTCTTCAGAAAAATATTTTTTTCAATATATATTAATAAAGTTTAAAAACGAGCAGTAAAAGAAAATAATGTGCTCAGTTTTATTTTTTTTAAAAAGTTGAACAAATAAGAAATTGAAAAATAATTGCCTTAACCTAATAAATAAAATAAAATAAAATGAAATAATAGAGCAATAAAAACGATGCAATTAAATAAAATGTCATTTCTTTACAGACATCACAAAAATATTTTAACAAAAATAATAATAGGAAAATTAAGTTGAATTATGTAAAAGTAAAAATAGTTTTCTGCCTTCATTTTGTAAAAAAAAAAAAAAAAAGTAAGGTAAAATAATGTTCTCTTGTAGAGCCGCTACAAAACAGTCAAGTAGAATAAAATAAAATAACGAACTATAATACACGAGCTCGCTTTTCTGCCATGCTTGTATATGAAAGAAAAAAAAAAGTTCTCAACTGGAGCCAAATCCACTTTGCTGCTCATGGAGACACTGGCACTCCCTCCTGTAACTTTGCCGTTGCAGTTGACACAGTCTCTGCTGGAGAACAGCGACACCATGAACCTTCGGAACCAGAGCTTGGCCCGCACTCGAGACCCCTCGTGTACCGCGCACGGCTCCTTCAACAACCAAGGAGGACACCTCATTGTGCCCAACTCGGGTAAACGCAATCCCACCTCCAAACAGACCCTTCTGCACCAAATCCGTCTCCTCAGGGGAAAGAAATATTTGTGACATAGTTGATCGATGTACAGGAGAAACATTTTTTAATAACCTTTCTATTTTTACGTGAAAATACCACCAGTGAAAAGTAGGATCTGGTGCGACATTTGTTGTCAGAGGTAGTTTATCTCGAAAGGTGTCAATATGCTGGACTAATGCTCCCTTGCTCATTGCGCACGATGACCTGAAAGAAGTTGTTTGTGCCGCTTGTGGTTGCAGGAGTGAGTCTGCTGGTTCCGGCGGGCGCCGTCCCCCAGGGCCGCGTCTACGAGATGTATGTGACGGTGCACAGGAAGGACAGCTCCAGGCAAGTCTTAGCCCCTTTCTCCCCCCGCCCCTCCCCCCATCTTCCTCACGTCTTTCATGTGCCTTCCCAGCTGCTGGCCGAACACGTTTTTTCCTCTTCAGCTCAACGTCTCGACACGTATTCCTCGCCGGTATTAATATTTACATTCATTGATCGTTTCTGTTGATCATTCGCAGTGAATGCAGGGCCATCTTTGATACATTTTTTCAGCTTTTTGGGGCAGACCAGCCAAGAGATGTTTTAATGTTTTGTTTTGATTTTTTTTTTTTTAAACCTATTCAAACTTAGAATATGAATGAGGCTTTACTTTTCAAAATGTTGAATTCAACTTCATTTTATTTGAACTTATTGCGGTACGAAGACTTCCTATTTTTTTACACTTAAAACTATTGGTTCAAAAATAACCCCCCAAAATTCTATACACTATGCTAAATATTTTATTTCATTCTTATTATTATTTTACGTTTTCACGCAATGGACTATTACTACTAACTGCGCAATGTGTAACAGTGTTGAGACAGTTCAGTTGTTTCATAAAAATCCTTCTGAAGGATTTTAAGGACTTTGTCAGTGAATCATCTTGTGTCGAGGCGAAAATATAACTTTTGTCAGCGCAGAACATAGATGACTGGGATTTGCCTTGGGCCCCTAAATGACTAAATACGCGCCTGCTTTAGCTGCAAAGTGTCACATCAAATTTCAGAAAAATGCCGGGCCTCTAACTTCAAACGGTCGCCTTAATACAATTCCACACGCGTAATAGCCCAACGGATTAAGTGGCAACCTCGGCGTTGGCCATGCCAACGTGACTGCGCTACATTTCGCCTCCTTGATGGAATGTTTATTTTATCTTCTTCTACTTCTCCCTTCATGAGTCATTAATGAGGTCCAGCGGCTGAATCAATAATGCTGTCGAGGATTAGTGCTGCCTCAAGCAGTGCTGCCCCACGCCCCCCAATTTTTTTTTTTTAAAGTCGAGACTAAAAAAAACAAGAAGACGTGCCTTGAAGCTGCACGGTCTTTCACACCAGCCATCAGGTGGCAACAGATGAAATGCTCGTTTGGCTAAAAATGACTCACTGGTATTGTTACATTAAAACAAAACGTAACGGCAAACTGATGCTTTTAAACAGAAATTTTGCTTTGATGAAGTCGTGGACAGGTGATAGTTGAATGCGAGTGGAGGAAGATGACTGATGTTGGGCTGAGTGTTGCACAAGAGGCGGGGAGTGAGCACCCGGGATGTTTTCTCACTCGACTCACTCGGTTGGAGTTTCAAACACCCACGCGCTGATGGGATTTTATTTTATTCCATTTTATTTGAAGTTTGTGGTTTTATTGTCAAAGGGCTTTGGATATATTTTTTTTGTTCGTCTAAGAATTGCCTGATTTACTCACAATGTGTTTTCTAATTGCATAACTCTGTCTTGTTTTTATTTGGATTTGATTTTGAATTATTAGTAGAATTAGTTGCTTACATGTGATATAATCAGTGTGATTGTACTTTTTCGTATACCATTTTTGTACACCCAATGCATTTCATTTGATTATTTTTCAATGCATTTTAATGGCCGTAGGTAATACCCGGATTTTCGCCAGTCGAAGGCCCGCCCGGTCCGAATCAATCAATCAAACTTTATTTATGTTGCACTTTTCATACATAAAAATGCAATTCAAAGTGCTGTACATTGCCTTCATTTTATTTACCTGATATATACTGTAATTTTCTGATTTTATGATCTAAATTGATATATACTTTATCATTAATTTTAGTATGACGAGCCAGCAAAACTATATTTTTGTTTTTAAATATTTAAGGTTCATTTTTACAGACTCGAATTAGTATTGTCATTGTTGTTTATTTGTTTTATTTACTTTATGTCATTGTTTACATTTAACATGCATCAACTTCCAAATTATATCTTAAGAGCAAAATTTGGATTATTTGACGAGTGCCCAGGAGTCGTACGACTGCTTTCGAGCAACACAGCCCGAGACTAAAACGACTCCCACCGACTTAAAATGCTGCGGCTACGTTTTTATCTGTTCGCCGCAGACCACCGGTGGAGGACGTGCAGACTGTGCTGAGTCCGGTGGTAAGCTGCGGACCCCCAGGAGCTCTGCTGACCAGACCGGTCATCCTCACCATCCACCATTGTGCTGACAACGTCCACGAGGACTGGCTCATACAGCTGAAAAACCAACTGGCTATGGGCGAGTGGGAGGCGAGTGCACGTGCTTCTTTGCTTATGTTTGTCTACAGTTACACACAAGTCTTTATTTATTTATGTATTTATTTATTTATACACTGCTTTGTGTGTTCTTATGACACTACTTCAGATCTCGACATGGCTGAGTAGCGTATGATTACATTTTAACTCTGCGTCGAGCAACTGCAACCCTGTCATGCTTTCATCAAGTTGTGCTTTGTAATGTGGGATGGCGGGAACTAAGTATGCAAGTAGTATGGTAAAATTAGTTTTGCTTTTAACCACAGCTACACCGATAACCTACTACTCCATTTCCAGTTTTAACACATCAGGATGGGTATTTTGGACCCCCTGTTGGATAATTGGACAATTTCTTGACCCAACGTGCTGGGTCAAATTCTCAGCCAACGGTATAAATAACCCAGCATTGGATCAGTCCTTTTTGGACCCAGCGTTCGATAAGCCATTTCACCTAATTTAGTTTACTTTTGAGCCAACGGTGTAAGAAGTGTACTGCGTAGCTTCGGTTGGTATGTCGGTAGAGGGTAAGTAAGTAGATGGGGTTGGTAGTTAAATAGGTGAGTATAGGGTAAGTCGTAGCTTAATCATTTCATCTTTACCATCATACAGTCGAATAATATCAAGCAGTGTAGTATAAGAAAGCCACCCGTGACTATAGTTTCAGCAGCAAAAGGTAACATCCCCCAACACAGAGCACACCATGCCTGACAACCTGTTCATCTAGCCAACACGCACACGCTATGTGATATACACCACGTCTGTAGGGGATAAAGCCAATAGAAAAGCAGGCGAGAGTTCTCTTACAGGAGGTAGGAGACTCCTATCAGCTGCAATTTGTTATGCTCCTGCCGTCCTCCTCCTCCTCTCTCATCTTTCTTTTTTTTTTTTGTGTGTGCGCTTATTTTAGCATGAAGCCTCAGCAATTTCAGCGAGTGTGTTTTTGTATACTGTGTGTGTGTGTGTGTGTGTGTGTGTGCATCATCCCCGTGCGCTCGTCTTGTTTCTTATCACAGCTCCACACAATGTCTCTGCGCAATTAGCCATGCGTACGATGCCTGTGTGTGCGCCTGTACGTACGTGCAAGTGTGTATTTGTGGTTTTGTGTGTGTGTGGGGGGGGGGGGGTCTATGTTTGGAGCAGCAGGGATGGGGTATTGAAAATGAAAAGCAGAATTTGTTTGGAGGAAAATTCCCCCCCCCCCACACACACACAAAAATTACATTTAAGATCCAAATGGAGTGAAGTAATTCAATTCTGCAGGTGTCAGGCCACAGTGTGATTAGAACTACCGCTGATTACACATTCAAAGCATGTTAGCTCCCCCTGCCCTATTGTATTGATTGGGTCTCATCTCAAAAGCATTAGCGACAGACACAGCGCAAGGGTGCCTGCCCATGCGAGTGACCCGACTTAGGAGCGATCCGACTTACGAGTTTTTTGAGCCACGATCAACAGATTTTCTGTTTTGACTTGAGATGGAAAATGCATGACACAACAAGCAGTAAACTGGCAGATATAATTCGTCAATATTTTTCAAAAAATAAGCTTCACACTGTTTACAGCAACTTTCAGCTGAAGGTTTCTGTCAAACTCAACTTAAAACAGAAGAGAAATACACATTATGTATTCAAAACAACCACCTACTGTTGCCTCCACTACCTGAATGCTAAGGTACAATGGGAAACTCCATAGGAACAAAAGCTAACAATTAGCATTCTATTGTTAATGTTGTTCCCCTTTAAGCGACAAGTATCTGAAGGTGCTGCAACACATATAGACTGACCATATAACAATGGTCACATGCATATATTCTTTATCCTCTATGAAGACTGACTCAAATTAATGTTGTACTGAGAAGCTGATCGAGGAGCTGAGTTTCCAGTATAGTATATCAGTGTATCAGTTTTATACTGCCGCCAGGTGGCAAAGGTGCACACACCAGAATGAGCAGCACAATTGAAGGGAAAGGTGTGTTTCATTCTTTTTAATTGTATTGTATTATATTTAATTCTACAGCTCTGACCGGCTCCAGCACGCCCGAGACCCTTGTGAGGATAAGCGGATTAGAAAATGGATGGATGGATGGATGGATGGATTTAATTCCATCATCACTGTGCGTTTTGTATCACGCGTAATATCAAAGATATTAAAAATGGATCACAAAACTTTTTTTTTTTTTAATGGAAGGCTTAAACAGATTAATAAGTAAAGAACATAGTAAAGTGTTGGTCAGTAGGTAAGATGGATAGCCAACACTCATCTTCAGCATAACATACTGGCTCCACAGTAACGTGTGTGTATGCGTGTCCAACAGGATGTGGTAGTGGTGGGCGAGGAAAACTTCACCACTCCCTGCTACGTGCAGATGGACTCGGAAGCCTGTCACATCCTCACGGAGACTCTGGGCACGTACTGTCTGGTGGGCCAGTCGGTGGGCAAGGCGGCCGCCAAGAGGCTGAAGCTGGCTGTCTTTGGGCCCGTTTCTTGCACCACGCTGGACTACCACATCAGGGTGTACTGTCTGGACGACACGCAAGATGCACTCAAGGTAAGAAACCCCGCAGTTGTGTGGACACAACATTAGCTACACTTGCATAATAAAAACTATCAAGAATAAAAATAATATAACACAGGCTAACCAGTCAACCAGATCCCAGCTCCTGATTTAACTCTCTAAGGGTGCGTAGAGTGTTTTCTACACAACAGTGACTTTGATGCTCATACTTTTTGCTTCAGTCATTCTTCAAACTTCTTCTTGTATAAAAGTACCATTAACAATCAAAATGTGCTTTTGATGGCAAAATAATGTATTTACAACAAATCACGAGTGTAACAATTTTACATTTGACAAACTTTATAAATTCTTTGCACGCTATTCAGTCGTGGTAGTAGTATTTAGTAGTGTGTGTGTGTGTGTATGTGTGTGCGCACGCGTGCGCTCGTGCACTAGGTACATGACGTCATCACTTCTCCTTCTAAATTTAAGTAATTCCCATCATCTTTTCTCCATTTTGTGGCATGCTCTGTAGTAAATTTAACATGACAAACACTTTGATCAGTCACAAGGTGCTTGCAACGGTCGCATTTCCTGCTTCCAGCATGTTTTAGCATCTTACACGTGCGATGAGCTCCTCCCAAAGAGATCCAATGCTGCCACCTGTGGGCCGATTTCATGATCGCAGTTGCCCAAGATTGTTTTCCACCCATTCCCATTGGGAAAAAAAAAAAAAGAAAACGTAGTTAACGGCGATTGACGTTGAAGGAGCAATTTTATAAATTGCAATACTGTACTACCATCTTGGGGGGACTTAATGGCTTTTCAGTTCATTTGAGTAGCGAACAGGAATTAGATAAAGTAGTGAAACCTGCCATGTGCGACATGTGCGGCCCCATATTTTTATATTCTTATTCTGTCTTAATTCTAATCTTTTCTGTTGCTCTATTTAAGCACTAAGCACATTTTAGATCTAATCGAGTGTTTTTTTTTATTGTCTGCTCAACATGGGCTCCAACTCCAAGCCTCAAGTCATCATAAGAAGAATTCACGGTGCTTTATTGTGTTCATTTGCATTCCGACATATTAAAGATTTTGTGTGTGTGGCGTCTTCATCTTGGCGGCGATAAACAAAACCGGGTCGAGCAATGTCAAACTAGCTGACGCTTTAGAGTTTAAACATATTCAAAAGCCCCGGAGGGAACATCTGATACGGGGGAGCTTAGCGCTGCTAATTTATGCATGAAGTGATCAAGTTGAGTAGCAACGCGTAGACACGCGCGCACTAACAGTGTGGTTAGCATTTCAAACAAGCAATTCCACCATTAAAAACAACTCTCGGAGAGATGCGGTTTAGCATATTACATACCACTTGTCTTTTTTACTTTTAATCTTGTAAAACGGGAGAAATTATGCAGAGTGGATGCCCACGCATGGAATGAACGCACAAGTGTCCCAACGAGCGACGTGGCCGCTTGTCCCGCATGTATTTAAACAACAAAATGTTGCCATTGATCGCAAATGTACACGTAAATGTAAATGAGCTGAGGGTGTTCAAATGTGCAGCCACATGCTGCTTCACCGTGCATAATTTTTGTACAGTCTTGTGCAATAGAAAAGCAGTGCTTTAGCACCATCATGTGGGTATCTACGGGCACCTTTAAGGGGGCTGAAAATTGATTTTTTTTTTTTTTGGGGGGTGGGGGGTAATAATCTAATGAAGCACAATAAAAGTAAATGTATGTTCAATTTATGGGTAGTTTATTTTCATATTTCTTTTCATTTTTTTTCTTAGATGAATTCAAATACCGTAACCAACTATTTAATGACATTTTGAATTAATAAAAATATTTTTAATAACCAATTTGAGGAGGGGAAATGGCTGAATTACTCTAACAAATATTACAGCACTCATAATCATATAAATGCCAGATGGGCCAAATTATTCTGATATTATTGGTATCATATTATTATGGGTATGCAAAAGAAACAGAATCAAATGTTCAAACTTTGCAGTGCATTCATTTTTCTTTTTTGAAATCCAACGTGGTACATCTCGCAAGTTCACTTGTATTTAGGTACAATACATTTTCATTTCGTCTTTTAGAACCGTTTGTTTTCAAATATTTATTTCCCAAATGTACAATACATTTTCATTGAAACATTATTGAAGCGCAGATTGAATTTCTTGTATTGAAGTGCAGGGTTACTGTTCGAATTGTACTTAATGTTGCAGTCACTGAGAGTAATATCGTACATTATTTTAATGTTTGTCATGACGTTGATACTTTTTTTTTTGAGGTGGTACGAAGAACTACATGCATAGTTGATTGAATGCGTAAGGTGTAAAAAAAAAAAAAAAAAAAAAGAAGTAAAAAACATTCTTCTGGCGGTCATTTTTTTGCAGGAGGTTCTTCAGATGGAGACGCAAATGGGAGGCAAGCTCCTGGACGAGCCCAAGACTCTCAACTTTAAAGACAGCACGCATAACCTGAGACTGTCCGTTCATGATGTACCGCACCCGCACTGGAAGAGCAAACTCATTGCCAAATATCAGGTGAAACCACAGGGGCGCAAAAGTACTCACACTCTTCAGTTAAGTATTGATTTGACTCCTTTGCGAAATCAACTTTTGTACGTACCCCCGCAGGAGATCCCCTTCTACCAGGTATGGAGCGCGAGCCAGAGGAGCCTCCACTGCACCTTCACGCTGGAGAGGATGAGCTCGGCCGTTACCGAGGTCAGCTGTAAGCTGTGCGTCAGGCAGGTGGAGGGCGAGGGCCAGATCTTTCAGCTCAGCAACACCCTGGAGGAGGTTCGAGCGCCACCGTTCACACCGCACCATAATCAACTTGCTAATATACTAACCGCCATAATCCCGGGTGACCGCTTTGTATCCCGCAAGGCATAAACTGAATTTATATCATGCCATTTAAATACAAACTGGGCCAAAGTACCATTAAGGCCACATGGACACCAAACTGGTAAAAAAAAACATTAAAAAATAAAATGAAATGACTTACAGTCAAATAGGAAGCATGTATGTCTGTCACCGTTTCCGTCAGCATTTTATACCGCCCCAAACGGGCCCATGCCATCCCTTGTCGACGACAGACAATTGGCGGCAAGAATGTAATTTCCATGTCGCTCACAGGTGCCGCGCAAGCCGACACGTAGCCAAATAAAGAATATATGTATATATACACACACACACACACACACACACACACACAATTATTCATTCATTGATTCACTCGCCGAACCATTTGGAGAAGTTCTGTGGATGCATACATTGACCAAAGTCCTCTTGACGATCCTCCCGTCTCATTTGCACATTTTCGGCCTAAAGCCCGCCGCAGCCATGGCATGGGAGTTCAAAATGATGACATTTGGAGCCCCCTCACCCATCCCCCAAGCAAAAAAAATTAAAAAATACAGTCTGACCTTTGAACCCACCCGGCATACACGCTCAGCTTTTGTCGGTATGGCAAAAATCAAAGCCTCACTATTCCGGTCATGTTGGCATGACCTCTCGGCCCACTATGAATGATTGAACAGTCGCAGGCAGCTCAACTTTGTGACTTGTGGACTTTTGAGAGTGTGCAAGTTCGTGGAGGAACTTCTCTGTGTGCTCGGCTTCATCTTTGGGCATCCTGCTCTTTATTAGTGTTCCCGAGAAGCGACTTTATTCAGGAAAACGCGTGACCAAAAAAAATGTTGGGGTTTTTTCGAGGTAGAAATGAATGACTGGCATTTCTTTTCAATTCATTGTAGGAGCTCCAGTGCATAGACACGTCCCTGATGGACCCAGCCAGCAACATCACCACATTAGTGGGGCCCAACGCCTTCCGCATCCCCCTGTCCATCAGACACAAACTGTGCGGGAGTCTGGACGCACCGCAGACAAGAGGCAACGACTGGAGGATGCTGGCCCACAAGCTCAACTTGGACAGGTCGCTTCCGTCCTCCAAATGACTCGACACCACATGCGCACTCATTCATTTTCTTTGGACGATTTTTGAAAAACAAAACGTCACTGCACTTCCTCAAATCCCAATTCTTATCATTTCATATTTTAATTAAAATGTAATCGAGGCAACAAAAAAAACATTAAAAGATCAAAGTATAAATCCAATTTAATACAACGGTTCAATTAGCTAGTTTGGATATTTCCCGACAGATGAAAGCTGCAAACACACTCCTCTCAAAGCGTCAAGGCACCACTGCACGGTGAACGTGAGCTTCATGTTTGTTTTTGGCATTCCTCAGGTACCTGAACTACTTCGCCACCAAGTCCAGTCCGACGGGCGTCATTCTGGACCTTTGGGAGGCCCAGCATTTCCCCGACGGGGACCTCAACGAACTGGCGGCCGTGCTGGAAGAGATGGGTCGACACGATAGCAACTTCTGCTCCATGACCGTGGAACACTAGGGACCAACGACTCTGGACAAATGGCAACGGTTGACCATGTACGCGGGCCAGACTAACCCAGGGGGACGCGAGCAGAACGACCAAAAAAAACAAACAAAATAAAAGCTGCGTCTTTTTACTCGCCGAGAACAAGCTAAACTAGCGATGTTACTTAAAAGTGGCATCGTCGGTAGCGGGCTAACAAAACAAACTAAGGAAAGCGTTAGCGATTGTTGCAAACCGCTAGCTAGGGTAAAGGGATCGAGCTAAGGACGTGAATTCAGGGAAAGCGTTTGCTCAACGCTAGCGAGCATAAAAGGAAGCTAGCTTAAGAAAAAAATGTTTTGACGGGTGGGTGTATGACTGTCAACCTGTCGGGAACAAACTGTTTAGTTTAACGGGTGGGCTTAAAAGTGGCATTGTAACAAAATGAGCTAAGTGTTTGTTGAGGCCTGAGGGACAGTTGCTAACCCGTAGCGAGCATAAATGGAACATAGCTTTGAAGATGCTTTGAGGAGTGTTTTTACGGCTTTCATCCATCGGGAACGATCCAAACTATGTCGTGGGCTCATAACACAAGATAAGGATGTAGTTGGAGGGAAAACATTGGCGATGAATGCTAACTGCTAGCATGGTAAACGAAGGCTAGCTCACATATGTATTGTATACATTTACAATTTTTAAAAATGTAAGCGACGAAACGACGCAGCTACTCAGAGGCCGTGCCCTGTTGCAACTGTTAACCAGAAAGTCCTGCAAAGCCACAACAAGCCCCTCCAGTAAGCCCGCCTCCACTCGGATCCTGTCACGAATCGACCGGTTTCCCCGATGTATTGATATGAGCGGGAGAACATGCGAAAAATAGATTCTCCCTCGTTATTATTCCTATTTTTATTTTATGATACTAATTATTATTGAATGAATGCAAGCCATGGCAAGAGAGTCTATGAGTTACAACTGCAGGAAGCAGTATTATTTTTCGTAATGACGAACAACCAGCAGGGGGTAGAAGAAAGAGGACGAGGCAGCGATCGCACCACATGATTAATCCACTCGTTTTTTTTTTCCAAATATGTCATGCATATTCATACAGTAAGAGCAACTTTGGTGTCGTGTCACATCACCGCCATGTCTTGATCTCTAGTGCCATCCAGTGGCCTTGACAATACAGTTTAGTTGTCTTTTCATTTTAATGACTCATGTAAATACATGATTGTCAGATGTTAAGTACGTTTACATTTTTTTCCTCATTGAAGATTATTGTAGTTGTGATCTCATAATTATTTGAGTTATATTTTAGGTTTTCATAAAATGTCCATGTCACCACATTATGGAAATCGTGTTTGAAACACTTTTTTATATTTATTTTTTTAGATGAACAAAAAAAAAAAACATTGAGAAATCAATCTCAAAGCATGAATTTATTTTTTCTGTTTTTTTTTTTTTTTTGTTCATATTTTGGTTGTCAAAATATATTTGAGGCCTTGGGATTCATTATTACAAAAACATATTTAATGTATTTAAACGTTAAGATAAATATTTGAAAGAGTTCAAAACAAATGTAAATTTTTTTTTTTTTATTTTATAAGAGCAGTCAACATAGAAATATTATAAAAACATCTTATATTTTAAATCGTTTTGCATCATTATCAACAGCAACGCCAGATTGTTTTATTAATGTCATTATTCTGGGGTTGGTGCACCATGTTTGAATAAAAATATATGATTTGTAAATCATTCTCAGTTTTAACAAAAAAAAAAAAGAACTTTAAAAAGTTAGTGTTTTGAATCAAGGGAAAATGTATGTCTGTGAAAAAATAATTAATTAATCAAAACATGATTTCTTCTTAGGTCACCGCTCAAAATGAGGAAATAAAAGGCTTATATAATTCTAACAACATTCTCAGTTTTGAATAGGTGTCCATAATTTTAACCCCCCCTCCGAGGACAAAAAAAAAAAAAAATTGATCAGATGACGCAGTTTCTTTAAAGGATTACATTTTCTGGATAAATAACATCCAACAAAAACAGTATGTAAACATCAGTATGTAGCAGGCAAAAGCTTGTTTTTTTTTTTTTGGGGGGGGGGGGTCACTTTTTCTCTTTTGGGGTTTGCCCCAAAAGATGTGCTTCTTGGTTGGATGTTGTGATTGTTTCCTGATGTAAGTGCTAATTCAAAAAGGGTACAGGGTGCATTTAAAATGCAAACTCGACCCCAAAGGCTACGGCGATGACATCGACTTTTTTTTTTCCTTCATTTTCAAAAATCTGCTAGTCGACATTTTAGCCACTGGACTCTTCACGTGGACTCGACATACAAATACAGTGTTGTTATTGTATGGAAATGTAAGGGGAAAAAAAGTGTTTTCTATTTGACTATAGTGTGTACACTTGTGTACTGTCACTTTAAGAGTTAGAGAAAAAAGTTAGGAAGTAGTTAGTATGTTTACTTTGTTGTTGTTGTTTTTTTGTTTAGTTTTTTTGTCGACTATGCAAACTGCCATTGGTTGTCATGATGGACGTCTTGGCTGTGCTTGTACCGTTTTGCTATGGAGAGTGATTTGGACTTGACACATGTTGAGCCGTGGTGGTGACTGTTTTGGTTGCATCCGGCACGCTTGTCATGACATCTTTTTGCGCTCTCCTTGTTTTCTGTACAAAGTGTAAGAAAGAATTTTTAAGACGATTAATAAATTATATTTATAAGCAACGCTCAACACGACTTCCTTTGCTGCTGTTCGTTTTTTTTTTAAACACTAAACACTTTTCACGCCACTTCTGAGACAATTTTTCACCTCAACTTGAATCTTGGGTTTCAAAGTCATTTGAAACACTCACCCGAGTTTATAATTAAATATTTAAATTTTAAATTTAAAACCCTAATTTGAAAACCTAATCTTAATTTGAAACCCTACATTGGAACCTTAACCCTAGTTTCAAATCCTGCTTTGATACCCTAATCCTTCCTTTGAAACCCAAACCGGAGTTCCAAAGTCTATCTACATTTAAACCTGATGTCACAAATTCTGACAGGTGAATTTCGAATGCATATTTGTGACTGTTAAAAAAAAGACCTAAATTGGAAAGGCAAAACCTACTTTGAAACCCTAACCCTAGTTTGACACCCTACCTTGAAACCCTTACCCCGGTTTGAAACCCAACTTTGCAACTCCATCCCTCGGTCAATTTGAAACCCTAACCCTAGTTTAAAACCTTACTTTGCAACCCTAATCCTAGGTTGAAACCCTAACCCTCATTTAAAATCCTACTTTGAAACGTTGACCCTAGTTTAAAACCCTACTGTTAAATCCAAAGCCTAGTTTAAAACCTTACATCAAAACCGAACCGGCGCCAAGCTCTAGTTTAAAACCCTACTCTGAAAGCCCAAATTATAAGAACACTTTAAAAACTGCAGCTGACAGAAAGTGCTGTGTGTGATACAGATCAAAAAAATGCATCAACTTTGTTTTCATATTCAAATAAAAGCACTGTTTTAAATTAAAAAAAAATGTAGGCATATTAATTTTTCCAGAGCTTTTATTTCTGGATCTGTACACAAGGTATTAAAGTACAACAGAAAATACAAAAAATGTTTTAACAAAATGAGTGAGAAGAGAGAGCAAACAAACAACACAAAAAGAAAAAAACCTGAATGTCTATGTACAATTCTTATAAACAATAAAGATAACTTCTGTTCTGTAACATTTCTCATAACGATGCCTTTTTGATTGTCTAGAATTCTGGATAGATTTTTTCTGCAGGGGTTTTATTCACAAAAGGTATTTTGGGTTGTTTTTTCCATGTTTTTCTGTAAAATGACTGAACAAAAATAAAAATATAAAATTAAATTTGCTTCGTGCCGGCTTGCACACGCGCACACACAAACACACGCTCGCACACCAATAAAATATCACATTTTTCCAGAGTTCACAGGGTGGTGGGAAAAAAAACAAACAAGAAAAAAAATAAACCACTTTTAAAATGGCCTTTTACATTCTGACGTGTTTGTACAAACCACAGAGTGAAATAATAAATAGCACAGCACCGCTACCCACCACCTACTGCATTTTTTTAAACAAACAAAAAAAAAAAAACAACACAAAAGACAAAAATACAAAATGTCATCTCCCAAAGACCAGCAGCCATGCCATCCAGACAAATACAGGAAGATCAAGATGGGGTTTTTTTCCACTCTCTTTTACGTTTATGCTAACAAACTGAGTGATCGACGAGGTATTTTACACCG